TCATTCTTTTATTCCTAGTTGGTATCACTGGCTTCTTCTGTAGGTTTCTTCATCATGTTAAGATGTCACATTGAGAAGAGCATAGCTGATGTTGCATTGCTTACAGACATCGAGTTCCCGTTTCCTGCCAACGGTCTCTCCGACCGTATCCTGCCAACGGTCTCCCCGACGCCGGAAATCGGACCAGCCATTGCAGATTTTGCTTGCATACGGCTTTATACCGATCGGTGTTGCCTAAGCTTTATTTATGTACGTTTTACCACTGAACATTTCGGCCAATTTTTCCAGCTGTGTCAAGAAAACGCTTTTCCTAGAATTTTTCTGTTTTTTTTTCACTCTTTGCATCTCTAAATTTGACACTTTGTCCATGAAGGCAGGGAAAGACACCACAATATGCGCAGGGAGCGGGCACAGTTTAAACGATGCCCAAATATGGTCACAAACGCACAACACCAAGTTCTTGCACACGTAAGGTGGTCCCAGCTGATTTAGGTTCGAGGAACTCTCCCGGAAAAGGGTTGATGCTCGAAAAGACCAGTGTACACATGCGAAACTAGGCTGTCTGCGTTTGGGTAGAACAATGTAGCGGATTGACAGGTTTATCTTGAAAGATGCCACCCCATATAGCAGATACTATAAAAAGAGGACAAATGAGCCGTGGCTGACAAATTCCTCGTCGTTTGATAGGACTTGCTCCTTATAGGGATACGGAAAAATTTTTTCCGCCAATATTTTCAGTTAAATATATAGATTGGATCGGGAAATCGATAGAGACAACCTTCATTTCAAGTAGAAACTACTGGAAAACAATGGATTTAATCCATTTTTCACAAACTGTCGCGTCTAGCAGCTGCACCGTGAACTAGAGGATGTGACGTTTGGTGACGTCAAACTCACCCTAAACTGGCAAGCCAACAATGCCAGCCATCGCCCACGCTTTTCGACTCGCTCATCTTCCACTTCGGTTCCTAGAAGGGTATGAACAACAACAGCAGTGAACAATGTTTCCGGATGGGGCAAAGCGCCAGTGCATTTGTGGAAGGCAAAAGTGAAGGGAGAGGATAGGTGGAAAAAGGAAGAGGAGGGCAAGAACACGTGCATCCTGCCTACGTTTCAGTGAGTGCGACATCACTGCTCACGCTCACGAGCAGCCACCGCGCCTCACAATTCGTCAAAAATACAACCAAATGTTCAAAAACACGAGAAATAAACTCCATTCATCAGGACAGTGGCATCACTCGAGTCGAATTTCCAAGTTTTGTTAGTTTTCTTTTCCATTTTTTTTTTTGCAGTATCCCTTCAACGCCTACAAATTTTCGTGACTTCACTCTCTTCAAAAGGTGCAGCTGCAACCGGTTCGGTTTTAGCTGCCACCACAAACAGCAAATACCACGGTGGCCTCGACAAACGTCCCGTCACCTAGTTGCTTGTTCGCCATGCCTTTCAACCTTGTATGGACTCGAAATCACTATGACCTTTTCTGTGTAGTTGGTTTTCTTCGTGCTGAACCAGTCCCCTGACACCCTCGTTCAAGCTTCGTAGAGAAGTTATCAGCCCTAGAGTTATTGTATATGCTACCGTAGGTAGCAGAGTTGCACATACGTCCGCCATCTTGCCCACTGGTGCGTCCCTGTTAAGCAGGAAAGCCACCCCTCTGGAATGTAGGAGCCGATGCGGCTCAGCGGCTCCGTCTACTTTCACAGTGTACGCCCGTTCATAACGCGTCGCCTACGCTGGCCCTTAGCTAAAAGGAAGAGGGGAGGGGGCTAGAAGATCCACTTTTCCGAAAATCTGATGTGTACGTGTATTTTACTGAAAATGACTCATAAAATGAGTGTTTTTCAAAGTCTTCAGGAAGTCGACCCCTAGCCCCGCGAAAAAAAAAAAATTACTGGCTATGGAACTGGCTTGTGGAACTGGCTGCGAAACTGGCTTTTCTTTTAAGCGAGAAACTGGCCCATAGCCAGTTTCTCGCTTACAAGAAAAAAAAATATGGAAAGCTCGAAACAACAATGAACCGAGATAGAACAGGCAGTCACTATCGCGAGTAATATCTTTGTTTTAAGTCGCCAACTCTCGAAAACTTCGACGGATATGATTCTGGACAAAAAAAAACATTCAGCTAATCATTAGTTTCAGGTATTTTCTTATGTAGCACTTCAAAGGAATTAGTAAACGGCTCCAGAAAACAAGTGTTAAAATTACTTCTCTGTGTTTTACAAATGATGCAAGTTAAAGAGAACACTCGGTAAAGCTTGGAACCTTTATGCCAGAAAGTGCTCGGAGTGAATCGCGACGTTTTGATACACCTATAATGTCCATATTCACGCATAACGCCGCTTTCACACATTCCCTCATGCGCACTTTTACTGTTTTGTTTCGTTTTTTCGTCAACAGCTCGATAGCCACACAAAATCACGTTCACTAAAACGGACAGCAGCGAACACCACCACAGCACCGACTAACAATCCACACTGCGCGAGCCGAAGCGCCTTGCGGTTCACTGGGGGGACGGCTTGACAGCGCAATGGTAGCAGTGGTGGCGCTGCGACCGCCAGCACCCGCTTGGCGAATGGTGGCGCGAGCGGCGAGCTCTCTCACGGGCGCAACTCTGCTACCTGAGGTAGCATATACAGTAACTTACATCAGCCCGTCTCACTTGCACACCCTTGTTTCGAATGCGTCGAAATTTTTTCATCGGGTTCATAGCCGCCGGAAGAATTATGATGCTGATGACGGTCTTAAAGTGGTGCATTCCCACAGCATGATCTGCAGCGTCCCTCTGGCAGAATATTTTAGAAAAGTTTGCATTGTTGCTTTGGATGAAAGCGTTATAGGTTGTGATGACGCATAAAATGGTTTATGCCGACAGAATGACTGGACAGTCTATGCAGGCTATACTGTCGCCTTACATCAGTACTCACTACGGGGAGGCCCCCTGGCTCATCAATAATTATAATGCGTGGTAGTGCCTGCATCATAGTTATCAACACAGGCACTTCATCCGAGGCTCACAAAGACGCAGCAACATCATAATCATGAGTTGCGTGTCATGTAACAACATTACATGCCATACTCATGATGTGCTCGCGATCACTTCGCTAGCTTCACACCCACCAAATTTGGTATTACGTGACGTGAATGGATGACGAAGGCATGGGACTGGTGCAAACATGATAATCATGAGATGCGCGTCATGTAACAACATGACCACCGGCCACACTCATGATGCACTCGCGGCCGTTTTGTTTGCCTCACATGCACCTAATTCGGTATTACGGGACGCGAATGGACGACATAGCTAAATGACACATCCAAACATGATAATCATGACATGCGTGTCATGTAACAAGACTACATGCCCTACTCATGCACTCGCAGCTGTTTCGCTAGCTTCACATATGCCAAATTTGGTATTACGTCACGTGAATAGATGGCGAAGATATGTGACTGGTGTAAACATGGCAATCTTGAGATGCGTGTCACGTAAGAACATGACTACGTGCCACACCAAGGCGCCAAAACACTTCGACAAGACCCGGCAGGCGGGTGCGCCGGCGTTCGTTTCGTCGTGTCACGCTGGTGATGCCACGCCAGGCGCCGATCTGCCTGGCATATTATACTCGCAGGCGCTCGCCACTGTGCGTTGCTTTGACGCATGCGCGTTTGAGCGTGCCCGGCGCCCTTCCATCACGAAGCTAAGCAGACGCGGTGCTGTCTAGGTAACGTCATCGGCGCGAAATGCAGCATGTCGCCTTTCGCGCCGTTTGTCGCTGGGCCTCGCCGACAGACGCTGGTCGAACCTAGTGTCAGACAATAGAGTGCTCGCGTATTGCTAGCGTAGCGTCGCTGCGCCAGCATGAGTGCGCGTCAACGTTACGTGCGCTCGCCGCCATTTCGCTAGCTTCAGTTATACCAACTTTTATATTACGGGACGTGAATAGATGTGAAGGTATGTGACACGTCCAAACATGATAATCTGGATATTCGTGTCGTGTAAAACATTACTTCATGCTACGTTCAGAGTGTGCTCGTGGCCGTTTCGCTAGCTGCACATATACCAAATTTGGTATCATGTGACGGGAATAGATGACGAAGGTAAATGACATGTCCAAACGTGTGAATTATTACAAGAAAGTCACGTACGGCATCATTTACCTGCGCGTCGTATTGTTGTGCTGATTTTAAAATGACATATCAACCTTCCTCATTCGTGCTTTTCATTGTATACGTGGGATCTGCCAATTTTTTTAGATTACAATTTTGCAGAATTAAGGTATATTTTTTCTTGTGTATTTCAAATACTTTTATGAAAGATACAATGGTTACCCATGCAAATAATTGTGCACAAAAAAAAGAGCGTTTTCAGGCAAGTTTACAAGATGCAACAATCACCGTGTCAAGAAGAAACTCTTCATCTGGCCAAACTTGTGGCCGGAAAACGGAAGGTCAGGCTACAGAAATACACACTGGCACCCATAGGGGCCAACAGAGCGTCGGCCATCGATCAACTGACAAACGGTGACGCGCGTCGTCATTTAGATGCGTCATCGAATTATCCTTCTGCGTTAACGCGCATGCAATTAAGTTCCAGAAGAATCTGCAATGTTCGTGTTGTGTGCGTAATCCCATCGGTAGGTTCTAAGATTATCTCGGTGCTTCTTCGTCAATCGGCGCCGCTTTGCACGGCAGCACTTACTCGTGTAATTGGGCGATAACAAAACACGAGGAAGAAGTGTGGCAGGTTCATGTGCTTGCGCTATTCTCTGAGCCAACGATGTGAAGACTTCTGTTCGACGCACTGTTCGCGTGACGTTTTACTCGGAATTTTGACTAGTGAGCGAATATTCGTTGAAAATAAATGACCGAATAAACATGTGAGAACTACTTCGTATATATAGTATATATGCCATGTATTACTATGGCTATCGATGCGTCCATTTCGTGAAAACGACGTACTAAATTCCTTTCACTGTCCTTCATTTGTCCTTGACTTGCAGGATGTCCTGTACAGCTACACCATTCTGACCATGGACGCTCCTCGCTACATGCAGTGGCTTCACAACCGAGTTCCCGTAAGAGAATATACGGAAAATAAGTGTCAGCTGCTTGGCGTTAATGGTTAAGAAAAAGAAACTGTGTTTTTATGTTCTTTCCAAGAGTATACTGTGCACTAAGCGGAAATTTCGCCCGCTATGCGGCAATTTGCAGACTGTTTGCATTGTTTGTTTCGGCTTTCTCCTTATATGCCGGATACTTTACTCTACACAGTAAAAATTTTTGCACCCAAAAGGGTGTAAAAAGGGTGCTTTTACCAGAAAGCACCCTTTGCAACACCCTTTAACACCCATAATTGGTCGATTGAAAAAAAGCACCCTTTTGTTTGGGTGCTTGCCTCAATAGCACCCTAAAATAGGCTCTAAGGGTGCTTTTGTGCCTGAGAAGGGTGTAGGTGCCGATTCATCAGATGGAATATGCAGCATAAGAAAAACACATAATTATAATATTTGAGATTTTACGTCTCAAAAACCTCGATATGATTATGAGGGTCGTCGTAGTGGAAAGCTGCAGAGATTTTCACCATTTGGTGTTCTTTAATGAGCGCTCATATCGCACAGTGCAAAGGCTTCTACCTTTTCGCTTCCGCCTTGATTCGACTGCCACGGCCGGCATCGAACCCGCGACCTTCGGATTGGCGGCCGAGCAGCGCAGCTACTGCACGAATATGTGGACCTTGCGTTAAATGACGGCCTAATTGACTTAGAATGTGCGAAGGTGCTCTCCGAATACAGCAGAATGTCAGCAGAAGCAAATCGCGTTTCATCTATAATGGCAATTAACCGCAATCCATGTTACGAAAGCTTTCCTTAGCGTTGGTTATAAGCTGCATGTTTGCTATGGATTATATACACACAAATAATGTTCGCCCGAGTATGGGTGTGTGTGCGTGTAAGCGCGATTGTGTGTACACCCGTGCATGTGTGCGTGCGCGTGTATGTGCGAGTCCGTGCTTGTGTTGAGCGTGCCTGTGCATATGTTTACGCCCATGCATGCGTGCGTTTACCGTCGCGCGTGTGTGTGACCGTATGTGTGTATACGTGTATGTGTGTGCGCCTGTGAATAAGTATGCGTGTGTATCAGCCCATGCGCCCTCGAATTTCGTGTGTGTGTGTGCGGGGGGGGGAGGCACTGCTTCTTATTGTTTAAGGTCCCACACCTGTTCAGACTAGGAGTCTATATGGGAGGTGGCTCAAGGAATGGCGGTTGTCAACGCACTGTACATGGACTAGTACATGGAAAACAGCTGCACATTTTCGTACCTGATCGTTGCTTACGAACTTGCTGTGATAGCTGATTAGGTCCGCTCAGGTGCTTCTACGCTCGAAAACGTGGGTTATGACCAATTCGCACGGAAAGCTGTCACTGCACTTATGCACAACCATCGTTTATATTAACAACGTTTAACAAGAACGTGCCCTGCCTTTGCTACAGGTGCTTAGCTAGCTCATTGGGTAACCATATGGAATTATGTATTGATCATGTGGTCAGCAAAAAGTTTGTTATAACAACCTCGGCACGTTTCGTGGTGCGTGACAAGTCTTCTAAACATCCGCGACTGTGGATTAATTTGTTCCAGCTTCGACTACGCATTCAGTGTTTGCGGCACCATACGCGGAAGTGCCAGACACAGACAATGCAAAAAGAAATTCCTCTGGAAAAAGGTGTAGCGATGCTCTCCCGCTAATGCCACCGAGGACGAAATAATTATTGTTTCTGGCCATTCCATGGTGCACTTTGTTTTCCGCAAGTTTTGCTTCACTATTTTTCGCTCACTGCAATCGCATTCCGTCAAAATACTCCAAGAACCCGAGACTGGTAAATAACCTGCGTCGCTGTGCGACTGGCTGGAAGGAGAGTTGCCATTTACAAGGAGTCATTCCGCGAGGAACGGCTGTCCGCCGTATGCTCCATAGCGTTTGCTCTTCGGCGCCGTCCTGGCGGGTTTCCCGCTCCTTCCCCCCCCCGCTCCCCCCCGGCCAGCGTTGCTCCCACAACGGCGGCGTAGATAAGCGAATAGTTGCGTCACCGAACACCTGCGTCGACAGCTGCGGCGCCGCCACGGCGCTTCAGCCGCCGCCAGTGCCTCCTCCCTCTCTCTATCTCAACGTCGCTCTCTCTGTCTCATCGTCTTTCAAATGCGTTGCGTTGGTCTGGGGTCTCGGTCGCTGTGTGTGTTCTAGCGAACAGGCGCATATTCAATGGTGGTCACGCATGACACCGTGTTCGAAGTGACGCTCGGATTAAGGAATATTCATGGAGTGGCGGACACGGACAACGTGGGCCTGTTAACGGTGAGTGTACTGTTTTCGTAAATAGTAATCATACAGCGCTAGCTGGGCGCCTGCAGCAGCTCTGCCGAAGTAGGCTGCCAGCCATTTACAACAGCATGCGTTCGCGGGCCTGTTGCAGATGCCCGATTAAACGTGTGACTTAACGAGTTCACACTGCTATGCGCGATGTTGTGTAAGTGCCTGCATCACTCATACAGTGAGTGATTTGATCACTTAACAAGGGCGGGATTAGTTGCTGATCGCACATTGTCTCTACACTGCACAAAGTGATTGATATTGTTTTAAGATGTGCTTTGGGCTACATCGTATTAACATTACTATTAATACTCAAATGTGCAACGTGCTTCTGTAGGTGTAAGCGCATAAAAAGAAAGAAAAAGCAAAAATTATGTACAGAGGCGCAATGTCCGAAATGCCTTTTTTTTTTTTGCTTAAAGACGGTATAGTTGGAGGTGCTGATATGCCGCGATGCTCCCAGCACGTGCGCCTCGGTCTTTTAAGCTATTTAGCACAAGTGCCACCAGCAACAGGGAAAGATCTAGCAGACTTCCAAAGGCGCGTTGTTGTGGCCATCGCCGTGCGTTGTTTTCCCTCGTTTCTGTTTGCTGTTTTCGTGCTTCGCTTTCATCTGCGATAATGTTCGGCGTTATAACAGAATCGAGAGAGTATACGTGACTGTAGGAGCTATGTGCGGTAGCTCTAGCCCGGCCGTGCTCTAGCATAAGCCATGGCTGCTGCAACGTAGTCGGCGTCCGCGCGCGTTGGTGTCGTTCGAGCGCTCTTACTTGCGTGATTGTGTTTAACTGAGTATTTAGGCACGGGTTACGTTTGTAAATCCCGTAGTCAATAATCGCTAATAGCGCGCCCCTGATTGCCATCAGAGGATGGGCTTGGTTGTCGAAATATGCCAGACGCTTTTTCTGAAAGCAGGCTTTGAATTTTTTTTTTAAAGAAGTACTTTCATACGTGCAAGGCAGTGCCTATTGCAGGCCCGCAACTCTTTAAAAACTGGACGAGCTATCACACCTTTTATCAAATTGCAATGAATTAAGATGATTGAATTATAGATGACGAATTTCTGTGCTAGATTAGGTGCACAAAACACATGTTCGCAGCCCTACGTCTAGAAAGCAGGCAAATAGGAAGCACACCGTCAAATTTGGATTAGATTCCATTGACGGAGCGTCTTGTGAGAGTAGAAAGAACGAGAAAATTGTTCGTTTTTGATGCCCTTATAGAGGCAATCAGAATTGCACTGATTGGTGACTTGTAACAATTCCTCAGATTGTTAGAGGCGTGATTAAAGTCAGTAAATCTTTTACTTTTTTTTTGCAGACCTCTTCGCTAGTGCCACGCCCAAGATCATTTGTTCTCATGTAAAAGAGAAAGCAAAGATGTCTTCACTGTACATGAAGAGGTAAGTTTCTTGTGCATTTTGATTAATGTTACATGTTCTTAACGTTGTACTTTAGGAATTGTTTTTCACACTGGCTCACTACCCTAGAAGGAATTTGATTCTTAGGTGAGTTCAGGCTTTCGTAAGTGCCATTTTTGAGCTGTAGTCTTACAACTTCACCTCATTTCGGGAATTTGCTGTATGCTGGAAAACTCTTATCTTTATCATACGAAATTATTGGAATGTATGGGTTGTATGCTTCGAGTTCAGTGTAATGTCAATTACACGCCATTTCGAAGGATACACACTACACATTCTTTATATATGGTGCTGCCAGAACAGCACGAACATCCTTTTATGAGAAATCATATTTGCTCTTATTACAGGATGAGAGGGTGCCGCTGACGTCCTGCGTAGTCTACCCCCCGGCCCCAGCCTAGAGCAAGCCTACTTCCTGAACCTGCACATGGATAACCGAAAAATCTTCCGTGTCAGTAATGACGAAGAAGGAGTGACAGCACTGATGAGTTGATTTTTTTTATTTTCAACATTGTCTACGGCCGCAAGGCCTTTAAAATCCACCGTGATTGAGCGGCTTTTTCTCGGCGTGAGTTTGGAGTTTATCAAAGAAGTTGTTCAGGCAGTACGACGCTGAAAATTTTAGTGTCACAATGCCTGAACAACTTTTTCTAGTGTGGTCATGGTAGATGAACAAACATTGTTATTTGTGTAAGTTATTTTGCTTAAATATAGCTGGACCATTCCATGCCAAACGTCCCAGCCACTTTGGCGACCATCTGAATTGTATTTGAAAAAAAAAAAAGTGCTGACTTACTGCGTTGAAAACAGTGAACTGCTAGAATATTTCAGCGAGAAAAAAAGTTTTGTTCATGTGGCTGGCTTATAACTTCCTGGCATAATGCCGTCTGTGTGCTGTTTGTGGAAAATTTCGTTTTAAATCTACCGCTTATTTTTTCTAAAGCAAATTCGGTCTACCTGTTAAGTAAATGTGCTTCTGTAAGGTATTTGAAGCTCAATAATAATAGTGCAATTTTTTTGCCACATTCGTTTGCAAGAATAAAGACAAAATGTGTTATGTTTGCATTTTTTATTGCAATATTGCACTTTGTATGAATATCTGAGCAGTGAATACTTACTCCACAGAAGGTATATTTTGAGGAAAAAATATCTTTAGACCTCTCAAGCTGCTGAAATATATGAGAAAATATCATGAATTTCACAAAATTGTGATTTTTGTCCGTATTGAGATGCAATTTGCTCCATGTTGCGATACAATAAAAACTCATCATTATACCTGAATTGTAAG